GGATGTATAAGTTGTTCATCAAAAAGAAGTTAACACAAGGTATGAAATTTCATTACTATCATGTGAAACATTTAAAAAAAAAAAAAAAAAAAAAGGTTTTTTTTAAGACCCTAAATCACAACAGACTGCTTAATTACTGAAATGAAATTTAAGAAGTTAGAATACATTAAAAAGGAATAATGTAAATCCGATAAATAACGAACTGTAAATGAGAATGATTGGCATAAAAATTACAGACCTAATCTAAATGTATATAAAATATTTATTTAAAATATATATATGCATCCTCTTTATCCAATTTACAGCTTATTAATGCTATTTTTTTTTTTTTTTTTTTTTTTTTTTTTTTTTTTTTTGTGTGTGTGTGTTTCCAAATTAACCTATGGTTTAACCAATCCTCATTATTTCACCTAAGCATGCAGTTTCATTGAAGCTATTAATTGGCAGTCTTGTGTGATTCATTACTAATTATTAGCTGGACTATAAAACTGCTTAAATTTTTTAATTTAAATGCTTTATACTTTTATATTATAAACTTATTTATTAAACAAAAGATAAGAGCCAAAAAGTTGCTATATGTTTGATATTATTAAAAAAATTAGCGATTTTTTCTCCCTGGAGCAAATTACAAAAAAACAATATTACATGGTTGGTATGATTGTTAATACATTGTATGTCTCCCAGACGATGCAATACAGTCCGTACAATGCCTAGGCATGCTGAGTATCAAATTATCGATCTGATCTTGGGGGATATTACACCACTCAAAACGCAATGCTCTTTGAAGTTCCAGTAGATACGTAGGAGGAGGTTGACGGGCTGCAACTCGTCGGCCAAGCATGTCCAACATGTGCTCTACTGGATTCAAGTCTGGTGAGAATGCTGGCCAGTCCATACGGGTGATATCCTCTGATTGAAAGCATTCGCTTATGATGTTTGCACGGTGAGGATGGGCATTGTCATCCTTAAACACAAATTGTGCACCCATGGCACCCCGAAACAAACGTACATGTTATTCCAGAATGATGTCCCGATAGATTTGGCTTGTCATGGTTCCAATTTGAACATGCAGGTTAGTTCTGGAACCCAGAATAATTCCATCCCAAACGAGCACTCCTGCACCACCGTAAGGGTGTCGTTCAATGATGTTTTCTTGGTGGTAACGGGTACCTGGAGCTCTCCATATGAAAGTCCGGCGAGAATCAGCCTGCAAGCTAAACCTGGACTCGTCGGAAAACATCACACAAGCCCACTGTTGCGGTGTCCACAATGCATGCTCTCTACTCCAGGCTAACCGCAAGCAACAGTGAGTTGCAGTAAGTGGAACGCATCTGACAGGTCTACGAGCATATAGACCAATCTGCCCTAAGCGTCTGTACACGGTCTGCCTTGAAATTGTCATACCAGTGGCTGAAGAGAGCTGACGAGACAGGTCTGAGGCTGTGCTCCGCCTGTTCTTTTGGCAGTAACTGCCAAATACCGGTACTCATCCGTCGTCGTAACTCTAGGGCGACCTGTGCTGTAACGTCTACTCACATTACCATCATCTTGGAATCGTTGCCAAAGCCTGGAGATGACACTCTGGGCAATTCCAAGTTCGTCTGATACTTCCAGATGGGTATGCCTACATTCCAGACGGCTGATAATTCTACCACGTAAAAAATCATCCAAATGCGTCCTTTGTGTCATTTCTTTCTATTCGGTTAATGCACTGGAATGCTTATAAAGTGCCTGCGAACAATTTTACTTCTTTGCCTGTATTCCTTATATATCACTCTCTTACACTCTTGTCATTGTGACGTACCATCGGTGTCATCTGGTTACTTCCTGAAATTTGCATATGATTCTTGAAGATGTGTGTAGTGATTTTAGAGGTGATATATTTATTTTAGAGTTCGATTTCCCCGTGACTCCGAATTATCCTTAATTTATGGACATGACTGTATTTGGCTTTAATTCCTTACTAAATGTAGTATTTCATCTCGATGTACTCCGTCTTTGATATGATTTAAATCAAATTCCTCGTCATTATAATTCGCTTCCGATAGTGAAGAAAGTGACACGGAGGTTATTGAAAACAAAAAAATTTCGATTGACAAATTAGTCGGTATTCTCGACACAGCAATTATAGGACTTGAACAGCGGAACTTTGTAACTGAACAAGAAATTATGTCTGTTTATAGAATTAAAGGGAAAGTATTATCACATAAAACAAAGCAACTTAAACAACTTACTTTGAAAGAAATGTTTAATAAAGTAAACAAATAAATATTAAGCCTTTTTTTATATAAATTTTGATATCCTTTAGATCATAATTGTTCTTTATTTCATAAATTACGGTTTCATATTTTTAATTTTATAATTTCTGCATGCCATCTTACCAGATTTAAACTGATGATCTATAATCCGGAATCGAAGTCCTGACGAGTACGGATTAACGACTTTTGACTGTATTACAAAGCATTGATATTCTTTATACAGTCAAAAGTCGTTAATTCGGACACCCATAATCTGGGCCTCAAAGCTAAAAACTTTCTGCGCATGCGCCGCGTAGACACATGCGCATAGGCGTTTACGCGTGCGCGTAAGACCTTTTACCACTGCGCATATGCGTGTGCGCAAGCGCAGAATACATTTTCGCGTGCGCGTTTTATGTATAACGGACGGCATAATCTAAAATTATCTAGTTATCTATTTCAGTTAATGTTGATGATTGCGTTGTTCCTTAATCTCCGAATTGGATCCGGATTATTATTTTTTGCAGACGTAATAGCAATTTTATAAAAGTAAACTTGAACTTTTGATTATGTCAAATAGAATTTCCGATTCTGGAGCTCTCAAAGGATCGTACAAAACGAAAGTATGTTTCGATGTCCATCAAACAAAAAGTGGAATTGCTGCAAAAAATGGATAAAGACATGAAGAATGTGACAGAGAGGTTGGTGAAAATGAAAAAATTTCGATTGACAAGTTAGTCGGTATTCTCGCCACAACAATTAACGGAACTTGAACAGCGGAACTTTGTAACTGAACAAGAAATTGTGTCTGTTTATAGAATTAAATAGAAAGTATTATCACATAAAACGAAGCAACTTAAAACAACTTACATTGAAAGAAATGTTTAATAAAGTAAACAAATAAATATTAAGCTTTTTTTTTTTTTTTTTTTTTTTTTTTGTAAATTTTGATACCCTTTAGATTATAATTGTTCTTTATCTCATAAATTAAGGTTTCATATTTTTAATTTTAGAATTTCTGCATGCCATCTTATGAGATTTAAACTGATGATCTATAATCCGGAAAAATCGATAATCCGGAATCGCCGAAGTCCCGACGAGTCCGGATTAACGACTTTTGACTGTACATTAAGAGTTAACTAATACTACATGTCCCAGGTTTTTAATCTGTTGTTCCACTTCAAAATACATCTTGTATTCTGTAAATATCCAACATATAAATTTTGCTAATGTCACTTCATATAGTAACAGATGTTTTTATGGATCTAAATGCGAGATTCAGTAATAAAATAATAGTGAATTCCAGATGCAGATTTCATGTAAAGTCAACAAAAGAGGAATTGTGAAGGAATCTTGGAGTTTGTTTTAAGTTTCATACTTAGAGAAATAGACATGCGACTAAATAATTTACAGAATTTCAAATGCAGCACTTCAGAAGCACCTCTAAATTTGTTTTGAAAAAGGACAAAAAAAGTTAAACAACAATCTGGCATAAAACAGTTAATGAGGCAAAACAGACCGAAAATTCTTCTACTTTCAAAGGAATCTTCCCCACCCCCATTTTCAATATAAATGTTGCACAATGTTTACTAGAAACAAGTGTATACTTTGACGATAAATAAGATGCAGGCAACTGGATACATAAACTACACATCAACACTGTGAAATTTATAACAACCATGAAATGCAATATTATTGAACACTATAAAATATCAAGCAACATTACATTTCAATGTAATAAAAAAAATTATTTTGTGTAATGAAATGCTGATGGAGTAAGAACTGTGATGCTAATTGTTTGAATTCACTAAAATTGTGTTGTATTGGACTGCTTCCGGAAAAATCTGCTCATTTTAGGTATGATGTACATTTGTGTTTTTAAAGAAAATTTGGTACTCTTCTGTTATTGCGACCGAATTGAGAAATATATGTGCACATACATGTATGCACACACATACATGTGTATGTACTTACATGCGTACATGAACACATACATCCATACACACATGCATTTCTGAATCTAGTCCCAATTTCTAATACGGAAACAACTGTTTTTACACTTGAACTAAAATAAACAACAAAATGCTCAAAAATAAAATCCACAAACTTTATGGTAGGAGAAAAAAATAAAAATGCATTAGATAGCAAAATAATTTTGATTTTTAAATGAATGACATAATAATTTTATTACTGATCATATTTTTTCCTACTTTCCGATATCAATTTATTTGCATTTATGTATGCATAAATTCAACAGGTAACATGTACCTGCAAAAATGATTTTTTTAATATGAAACATTCAACTGAGAGCATATATGAATGACTTTTTAGCAAAAGTGAGCTTTTTTTTTTTTAATTTGAAAGACAAAAAGGAATCAAAATATTCACAAATTACGTAAAAAAATACTCTAATAAATAATTTTAAATATTTCTTAGTGAAAACTTAAACAACGAAATTATAAAATTTATAATAATATCATTGCTTTCTAAAATTTATTTTTCAATTTTTTGTATATAAAACTTAATAAACTGATTGATTACGTATCATAAAGAAAAAAAAATAATATTTCTGATTCCAAAATACTTAAAAAAATATTTGATTCATAAACATGAAAAAATTTAAATGTATTACAGATGTTTTATGATAAAAAGCAAGCAGCATGAGTAGATTCATAATCATTTCCAGGCGCAACTAATGAATCAGTCACTCTTGGAAATAGGCGAGAACATTTTATCTCTAAATGAAAAGAAAATATTACTTACTTCTGAAAGGAATGTCTGTGCAGCTTTCTGTGCTCCAACGTGAAGTAAATATTCGTAAACATATAACGCTAACCTATAAAAAATGAAACAAATCAAAATCTGATTTTGGGTATAAACAAAACTTGAAAATATAGCAAGGTGCCACCCCTCAAACACAACATGGAACGGTCCCGGCCATATGCCTCGAACTGGGACATGCACACTTCCCGCTATTAGAGATGCTACTCTGACAGCGGAACGTGTGCACTGCTAGCGAAACAGTGTAGCTGTCACATCGGCAGAGACAAATCGCAATATATTATGTTCAATACACGTAACACTCGAAACTCATCATCAGCGCAAAATAATATCCATAACGCACACAATTTAGAACACGCGATGTCACAATTGTAACCGCAACGTGGAAGGTAGAATTTTTCCGCTCTCGATTTTTACCACGGAAAGAGGGGCAAAATATTCCACAGTATAAAAGCACTAAGATTTCTTTTTCTTACACTTACTTTTCTCTGGCTTGAGCATCTGATGGTACTGTGGAGCCTTTTCCTTTCGCGTACATGCTGTAAACTTAAACGGCACACACCTGTCAAGACATTCAGGACCACACCGACCTTGTTACCATAGAAACATAAATTGATCTGTCACGGCCGCGGATGTGATTGGACTCGGCCCTCTCGATGCAGCAGTCGCTCTTCTACTCTAGGACAGACCTCTATACGTCACAACTACATAGAAAAACCGAGCGTCTACCATTGGGCCATTGCGATAGCGGCTCCACCTAGCGTTCATTGTCCCTACTCGATAATATGAATAACTAAACTAATAAAAATCAATTAGATCTGAATTAAAGTTACATATTCTTCTTTATATTTGTTGAATAAGAAATAAAACTGTACTATCATTACATAATAATATTATACTTTTATGAAATAAGGTTAACGAATTATTTGTTTGGGGGTAAACAGTGATACTTGGAACAGCAGACGATTCGAAAGCTGCTCGGTGAACAACCAGCTGCATCAACATTCAGAAGTTGGGAGGTGTTTTGAGGAGTTACAGCGGGAGAAGCTTTGGCAGAATCTCAATCTAATCTTCATTTTTTTTAGAACTGTATCAGCACTTTTGTACATCATTAAACTTTTTAATAATATTTAAACATAATAATTTGCTGAATATTTAAAATATTATTTAATTCTTTGTCATTATTGTTTTTTAATTCATCTATCTTTCATCCTGTGGCGTAACTTAGACGCACGAATAGAAAATAGAAAGTTCGCCCTCTTCCCACGGCCAAAAATGTTACTTAAATTAGCTTTGAAACAACTCGGCCAGAGATTTTCCAGGATTTCTAATTTTGAATGAATCCTGTTTACCAGGCCAACAGTACCAAGTTTTGCTTGCAAGACTTTTATCGACTGTTCTTCAGATATCATACTTTGTTTCCTTCACACGTATTTCAAATTTGTTTCTAAGTTATTATGTCATCAAATTTTCCATATTCCCAAACTGATGGCAATTTTTGTTATTTGTGTCCTTAAAACTGCATCGAATTAATTATTTGCTGCATTTCTATAAGCATTAAATTTAAAATGTCCCAAAGTTTGGCACAAATTTCTAAAAATTGCAAGTCTGATAATATTCATAGAGTATATTTCATGACTGAATGCTAAATTTCAATTTCATTACAACTGTTATTACTACTTGATTTCAAATTATTTCTAATTATTTATTCAGTCAAATTAATTTTATAAAAAAATATTTCTCTCTGTATATATACTTCAAAATTTGCGATTATTAACATTTGCTCAGTAAAACTTCTTTATTTTCTTACATGTTAATTTTAAAAGTAAGGTAAATTAAAAAAGAAAACTATGTTTTCCTAAAGAGTGGGACACATAATGGGACATCTGAAAGACCTGGTTCAAATAGCCAAATGATCTTCTCCACCAAAAATGCAATTAATTAAGAGAAATATTTAATCACTATGCGTAAGAATATAACTAAAAACTGAAAAATTCATTTTGCGAACTGAACTTCACTGAAATAATGAACAAATTTCGCTTATCTTCTCCATTAATAAATGTATGAAAGCAATTAAGAGTTAAATGTGTTCTTTGTTATCCCATTCTAAACGTCACCTTAAACGGACCGTCAGGGGCACTAAATATTTTGATGATTACTTCGGCTTTAAAAAACCGAATATTTGTATCAGTGCGTTTTGTTTGAACGCAAAATAATATAAACAAAAAAGTGATAAAATATCTTTAAAAAAAATTATGGCAGATTACCATGTACATGTCCCCACAATCTTTTTATGTATCTGTTACTTTTACTATAACTAACATTTGTTTTCAAAAACTTGAATTTATGATATTTATTTTCAAAAATCATCTACTAAACATTAAAAAACTGATTTTTTTCTTCATATTTATTACTATCATTTACCTCTTTGAGACCTGCTCGTCACAAAAATTTTCTTGAAATAAAATAGCTCATTCAGAAAATTCTGAAAATAAACTCCAATAAATATTTGGAGATTTAGGACATAAAATATTCAAGTAACAAAGAGTTTAATATTTAATTGAATGTCTTTTAGCAAAAATTATATTTTTATGCATTTTAACATAAATTCAACTAGATATTTTGTAAAAATATATTCAAGTTTTTCCATTCCTCCATCAAAATTACTTTTGATTGGACTCCTGAAGAAATATCCTGTTTCCATGTCCTGTTTCCTGTTTTCTCCTGTTACTCCATAAAACATGCTCGAAAGGGTTTAAGCTTCGAGAATACAGCGAGAATTTTTAACAACTTCAGAGCATTCGTTCAATACTCATCAAAGCAAGCAAACTTCTAGAACTGTATGTGTAAGATCATTATTCTGCTGGAACTTGAATAGGTTTAGCCTTTCAAGCTTTTGCTCAGATCATCATTCATAATCTTCTTTATACTTTCTTTGTATTTTAATGCTAATCCATACCATTTTCCATAAAAATTAAATTTCTCGTTCAAATAAGACAAAAAAATATCCTCAAAATCATTATGCTTCCACCTTCGCGTATAAAATTAAGTAACGGGTTTTTCAGATTCAGTTCTTCTTTGAGGATTCGTCACTCACCAATTCGCTCAACGGGTCCAGACATATAAATTTTGATTATGCCTACAAATATTACAGCCTAATACATAGCAAGAAACTGGTATCGGGTAATAAAAAAACAGGCACGTAGAAAATATAATTCTTTTATCGCTCGCATTCCATACTTTTTTATTATTACTTATTTATTACACATTCTGAACGCCTTTTAACGCCCTCCCCAAAAAGACACCTTCATAACGGCATTTGGCATGAAAATACTCATTGGACAAATATGCAAAATGTAAGGTTACTATTTGAAACTAACCAATTATTTATACAATTTCAGCTTTTACTATGACTTTTTCTTTTCCGTTTCGTCACCAGAATGTGATTTAATATTTAAACTGAGGTTTTGGGATTGTAAGACAGACGTATTGTATAATGAACAGAAGCCTACACTCGGATCTAAAAATCAGCACTTGATAATATATATAAAATAAAATTTAAAAAAAAAATAGAATAAATGTGTGTAATTTAATGTGACGTCTAAAAATAGAATCAATCAAAGATTTCACTGTATGGAATATTGGAAGATTTTATGAGCGAACTTTAAGAAGTAACACAGCAAATTTCATAGAAATCTTGGAGTACGACATTCTCGAGGAAGATTGACTTTTTAAGCCTGCATACTACACTAAACAATCAGGCTGACCAATCAGAAAGCAGAATTCCCCAGCGCTTTTACTATTTTGTTTGATATCGTCTTTGCTAATGCGTGAATTCTGAGATACTACCAGCATTGGCACCAACCAGTCTCCAGACCTCCCCGGTCTTCAATTTAGAAGCAAAGCGCTTCAATCAATCCGTTCTCTCCTCGTCAAGTATTTATCTCTTAGGGAGAATTTTTCTTTACCGTCGCATTACAGGTCAGGCCCTAATGGAACTCTCTCGATAACTGGCAAGAGTAGGGAAAACTATAACCTTCTGCATGTCAGTATACCGATCAAGTATCAAAGTATGTAAGATAGAGTGGGTTTCTGGCTTGCGCGTGCACACTACGTTTAATTCCTGTTAACTCTGATAAGTTGAAATTATTCGGCTTTTCGTTATGTCTACCGACATTTGAAATTGTTACTCAAGAGTTAATGAGCTAGCTTAGAGTAAGATTTAAATTATGTAGTCTTTGACTACTAGTCTATGTTTTAAACTGAATTTGACTGTTCTTTCGGTTACATCTCCAGTTGCATATTTGGGGAGGATTTTGTTAGCACAAGAAAGTTCTTTTAAGTTTTGTTTAAACAAAAAGACTTTTAAAAATTTTCCCTGACTTTGTAGTTACTTTAATCCATAGCGATAATTCGCTTTACGTCTATTAGAGTTTTTGGACTGATTAACTTTTACCATATCAAGGAAAACCTCGCAAAATAATTAGAAAAGCAAAGAGAAAGATTAATTAGTGCCTCTAGCTGCGCTCGGAAAACTCATATATATTATCAAGTGCTGATTACGAATGCAAGAAAATGGTAACATGAGGATATAAAAATCGACATGTGATTACCTACGAAATTTAAGCATGCCTTGGTACTGGATTTGAGTTCATACGAACATTCAGCATGCTATTGGTTTGAAAGTAACTGATTGATCCACGACTTATTGCCCGGCCCATGGTTCAAAAAGATCTGACAATCTAATGATTCTAGCGCCACTAGGTCTTAGGAGACAAAATGCAGAGACTCAAGTGCATTGGCCAGACAGAGAGACTGAAAACCACATAAACAGCAACGATTAAGCAGTTTTCTTCCACTTGTGACGATATCCATGACGCCGCAGATATCCGTACAGACAGAAGCTGGCCAGCGCACAGAATACTTTGGTCATAGCTAGTTTCAGTGTGATATTTTATGTAGTACCGATAGCATCTCAGGTGACCTGAGTTAGGAAAACCACATATACTGCAACAAAATTAAGAGCTTTATTGCAGAAACTTCTATGTGTAATTAAACGTTGAAGCTCACGCCTAATGAGAGGGAAGGAACATCAGCGAAGGCAATGATACAGGCAGCTACATCATAATGCGGGTGTAGAAGAAAGCTTCGTAATATTCATGTCTCAGAAGAAACTTAAAATACAGATTTCAGTTTCCTAAGTAATTTATTATCTTCATGGCCAGTTTTCAATAGCCTGTAGAGACGATTAAGTTTCTCGAAGCATAAAACATGAAAAATGTGCAACTTGGTCACAAGGACCTAACGCACTTTAGCCGAACATGCTTCCAATTACACTGGGAAGCCACGCGGTAAGAAGGGAGAAAATACTTGAAGCCCGACTGGAGAGAAGAGGACCCATTCGCCAAACCCTGGTGACAAATTATCGTTCATGCCCTTTTAGTTCCGGAACCATTGTAGAGTCATTTAGAACTTTTTGAGGCGGGAAAGCGAAGAAATCTGCCTTCGCTGGAACTCTTAGTCCGAACCTTCCGGTTAGCATATTTCACAAGTGCACATCAGCGCAGCCACTGAGGGAGGGGTTTCGAAAATAGACCAATGAGCTTCTATCACTCTTGTGACGCTACTCCATGCATGTGGATTGTAAGGTTACGTTTTAATTTGCATTTGGTTGGTTCCCAGTTA